AACCTTCCTTCAGCCTGGTTCTTTGCCGTGTTGCCAAGGCTTCCATCTATATTAGGCCGTGTGTTCACTAAATCAGAGACCAATTAACCGGCCGTCTGTGGGGAAGTGGGTAGTTGAAATTCAGAAATGGAGCACCGATTTTTTTTCCTTAGAAATAAGTGAAAATCCGTTGGTTGTGTCTACGAAAACGACACAACACCTCCCAACAAACGTTGTATCGGTTGGATGCTACTTATTATGTTGCATTTTAGTCTGGCCAGGTGGTGATATAGCCATACACATAGACCCTACGGGAACTTTTTTAAAATTATAACTTTAAATCCAATGTCAAATTCATAATTAGCACCTCAAAATTAGCAATGTCTTCGCATAAACCTCCTGATTTAGATAGGCCTACATAACAAGGTTCAGTGGCGGTGGGCAGTGAAAGACTCACGGGCTTGAGCCCCACTCCCCATCCCCCCTACACTATCCCAAAGCAATTGAAAATAACGAAATAAGCAGTTGCAACTGTTATGACCGCACGCAATGAACACAGAGTGATCAACTTGGCGGCCTGCTCGTTTATCCAATCACTGTTGTCACCGCTTACTACAACAGTAACCTAACACTAACAGCCAATCATATGTCTTTAGGGCTCAGCCAAGAACGAGCCCGTTCCCACGGACCCTCCTTAATGAAACCAGAGAGGGTTTACAGTAATAGAGAGGTGACACTCGTGGCGGCGCTCCATAACAACAGTGCATTGTTTCGCGTATCGCCCGGCGCGGGGCGCGAAAACACTTACGCGCGGTGATCGCTGCCACGGCGATGCTCAGGGATGCTGTCATGTCATGAGAAAGTGTAGTACCGTCTGTAGTTAGTTCACTAGATTACTTGGCCTTTAAAAAAAGGAGGCCTGTGAATTATATCGCATATTTTAGGCAACTCCCCTGCCTCCCTCGGCCATAAATTGTAAGACTTGTTTTTGGCTTAAGTTAACATACATTCTAATAAACAAATAGACACAGATACATTTTTTTTCGTCTCTAAAGATCTGGAAAAAAATCCCCATAATTAAAGGAATAATCGGTTTGATTTTCAGCAAATCTACTCGTTCTCCACCGTCCCTCTGTCAACTCTCTCCCTCTCTGTCTGTCTGTCTGTCTTTTTTTCTCTCCTTGTCTCTT